GGGTTAAGTTCCGAGCTGGCGCGCGGGTGGTCATCCGGGTGGCCTTCCTGGCGGAATGGGGGGGACACGTGGCGGCAGGAGGTTTGAGGATTTTGTGCCGTTCAGCACTGCTTGGCTAGTTGGGTTCGGAGTAGGTGACTGTCACCGTGACAGGAAACAAGTTTGGACTAATAAATCAACTGCTCAGGGGGAGCGGACGTGTTAGTTCGTAAAGAGAAGGACAGGGGGACATTGAAATGGCGACAGCACAGGCGAGTCAAGTGGACGGAGCAGAGGCTTCTGGTGAGGGCGCAGCACAAGCCCCGCAGGACCGGAAAAGAGCTCGCGCTAGAGAGTACCTGGACTGCAACTTCAGAGATGCAGAAGGGGTTGACTGTGAATGCCCGTCCTTCTGTCAGCAGCAGGAAGGATTGGAGTGCTCATCCTGCAAGCACAAGCGGGGCTTCCATGCAGCAGATGAAGGTCTTCCAGAGCACGGCGTAACGAAATGCCTGCACAGTAACTGCCGCTGCCTTGAATACGACAAAGAGCCGGGAGGCCCCTCTGTGTGCGTTAACTGCAGGCACTCCATACGAAAGCACACGAGTAAGCTTCAGGCAACATCAGTAGTGCCCTCAGCTCGTTGTCTTCCCAAGCAGGGCCTTCCACGTGCTTGCCCCGCTTGCTTTGTCTGGGAGCAGGCACTCTCCTGTGCTTCCCTGCTTGCTGAATTCTTGAGGAGGGACTCTCCTGTGCTTCAAAGCTTGCTGAATGTTTGAAGAGGGACTTTCCTGTGCTCGCCCTGTCTCAAGGGGGCCAACCCTTTCAAATGGCGCTCAACTGCTTGGCCTTAGCATCACCGCTGGTTCATGCAGAGGTGTTGTTCTGGGTCATGGGCTTTGGGACCAAGATGCACTTCAGGCACGGGACGTCGCGCAACCAGGTTCGCCGCGCATTCGAGTGCGCTGGTCACAGGCCTGACCTGGAGCTGCTGGCATTTGAAGACGGGACCCTTGTTCCTGTTGGGGAAGACTTGACTGGCGGCTACACGTACACGCTACAAGGAGGTAAATCTACTCGTCTTTGTTTCATGTCAGCCTGGTCCAGGGTCAGCGGGAATGAGGTGGCGCACCTGCGTTTTGCTTACTTCATCTGACGAAGGCCTTGTGACCGGCCCCCTCAGATACTTGACCACTCGTAAGAGCAGCGGGGTTCAAGTGATTCTGGCACACTCCTGTTCCTGGGAATGCGACACTGCTCTTCTCATGACTTGGACTGGCTGCATCAATCTGCAGACAAACGACCTGCGCGGGTATGTTCTTGGTCGGGCCCCATTGGAGAGAGGCCCCAATTTGACGAAATGACAGGCACCTACCCGATTCACAGCAGAGCATGTTCCTTCTCTCGTGTTTCTGTCATTATAATCTGAATGTCCATTTGCCCAGCATGTGACGCCCAGTCCCCTCCTCCTCTGCAGGTCCGGTCTTCTCCGGGCAGCCCCCCATGATGCACACCCCGTCATCATTCCTTCGACGCATGTCGCAAATGGGGCGGCCAGAAGAGTTGGCCACACTCATCCCGGACGCGTGGCGGGAGAAGGTTGACAGGTTTCTGGAGCGAGTCCGGTCAGCGGAGAGCCGGGAGCACCTGAACAGCCTGCCTCTGACGGAGCTTAAAAACGAGGGGAACCACGGTCTGAAGACCGCGGCGTACGAACGGCTCAAGGAAATCCTGGAGCATCTCATGACATACCTTCCAGTCGGTTTCCCTCCCCTCCTCTTAAAGCGAGAACCCACTCTGGCCCTGGGAATCAGCGTTCAAGGCAATAGGACGATGGAGGGTCGCATTGACCTGGTCGCACTCGACCCAGACTGGGAACTGGCCCGCAGCTGGAAGTCCGCTCTGACGTGGGCGGAGATGAAGGGCACGTCCAAAGGCCCCCAGCCGGCAGAGAAGGACTACACGGCCCAGAATCTCAGCAGAGGGGGCTCTGTCTTCTGCGCTCGGCGGGATTCGGGAGAGGGGGGGACTCAGGAGTTGCTCTGTATAGGCACAGACTCACGGAATGCAAGCTTCCTGCGCTACAGCATGCACCTAGCGCAGGAGCTGAGCAGGGGTTACTGGGAAAAGACGAAGCTCTACAAGTTGTTTGGAGACGACGGGGTTCTCATGGTCAACGGGGAGGGCTGCCGCGAGCTCCTGTACGTGCTGCTTCGCACCTCGGAGGTCATGAAGTGCAGGGAGGAGCAGAGGTTGCAGCTGGCAGCAGCTGCCGAGCCACAGGACTGGGAGCCCGGGAGGGATGGAGAGGGGGAGCGCGTCCCAGGGGCGCTGCGCATTGCTGCGCGGGATGTGGCGACAGGAAGTCTGTCGGGGGGCGCGGGCGGAGTTTGCTTGGCAGGCGCCGAGGCTGCGGAAGTCTCGAGTGGGGCGAGGCGCATGACTGAGGTGGCCATCACCGGGGTTTTCGATGTGGGCGGTGCCTTGGCTGAGGCATTCAGGGGCTTGGTGGTTGCCCCAGTGTTCACCAGCGGGGACCTGGCTGTGGTGCGAGACGACCAGGGGGGAGTGCAGACCTTCCAGGTGGATGGGCCCCCGCTGTCCCAGAGCTCGCGCGGCGCGGTGTACGCAGTGCGGTCTCTTGATGCACCGGGCACCCCGGCTGCGATCCTGCGGCACGGCCAGTGGACCGAGGGGGGCAGCATGTTTGTGGAGGCGCACACGGTTGCGCTGGAGCGGCTGCAGGGTGTGCATGGGCACCCCAGGGTCATTTGCAAGGGGGTCGTGGACCAGCCAGGAGGCGGTGAGGGAGGTCGGGCCACGGCGCTGGCGGTGGTTGAGTCGCATGAGGGGACCAGCGTGCAGCCGGGCTCCTTGGACAAGTACGGTGTCAGCCAGCTGGGGGCGAGCCTCTGCGCCCAGCTCGCAGTGCAGTCACAGTGCGGGATCCTGCAGCGTGACCTCACCCTGGACAACGTCCTGGTGCGCGCGAAACGGTCGCCCAGGCCCCCCCGGTCTCCCAACCCCCTCCTGCGCAGCGTCTCTGTGGCTGACTCTGCCCAAACTTCGCGGAGCAGCGATGAGGGGTTCTTGAGCCTGCACTCCCTCTCTTCGTCCGGAGCGTCCAGCGGGGTTTGTTCACCGACCAGGCCCCGTCAGACCCACCCCTCTCCCTCGCCTACCAGCCCCCTGCAGACAACCCCGGCACCTCGCCCCGATTTGAGCAACGAGTTTGAAGGGCTGACCTTCACGAACTGCGACTTCGACCTGGCGGGGGTGGTCGGGGTGACCGAGCGGTTTGGTTTCCGGTACACAAACACCCCTATCGTCAAGAACAGCTACTTTCAGCCGCATGCTCTCTTCGTCGAGTACCTCACCGCCGGGGATGTGGCGCTCACGCTGGCGCTTGTGATGGCCACCGCTTATAGTGGCATGGGGGCTCTTCCTTGGGCGGACAAGGCGGCGGCAGCAGACGAGCACGCCGTGCATGCGGAGCTGCAGAGAGCGCTGACGGATCCATGGCAGCTCTTCGGCCTAGGGGAGGTGCACCCCCTGGTCGGACAGTTTGTACGCGAGGCCAAGGCGGCCGTGCAGTCGGACGCGCACTGGGAGAGGTGGAGCGCCAGCCTGCAGAAGGCGGCGGACGAGCTCAGCATCCAGCGGGGTAAGTGATGGGCCTCAGGTCAGCTCTGTGCATCGAGTTGTGGGCTCCACGGGCCATTTGCTTCCTCAGAATCAGGTGCGGCAAACATGCATGCGAGCTTCTGACGAGCTGAGAGAGGGGAGTGCGGTGTCCGTTTCCCGTCCTCCAGTCTACTCAAGATGCTACCGCAGATTTTGATCCTGCGTCTGTTGTGCTCGTCCTCCACTCACAAACAGCTTTTTAATGCCAGGGGTGCGCTGCATGGTAGCATCGTCCACCATGACTGTGGCAGATGGGCTTGTCGTTTGATAATGGTTTTTTTTGCTCTGGTACCAATTATACCCAACCTCAAATCTTGAAAGGAGGCTGTGTTTGGTTCGATAGCACCACAAGTCGATCGCTCTTGAGGAAACTCTCCATATTGCGTGCAGCGAGCCCAGGAAAGGGCAGCCGGTCACCCTCGCCGAGGAAGCAGGTCGAAGGTCGGCCACTCTGATCGGTTGCGCAATTTGGTCTACCTTGAGTCATCAATGCTCAGCTTTGTTCGTGCAAGATCAATCAGTGACGTATTAGCTGCCTCTATGGCTGAGCGATATGGGACTCTCAAAAAGCGATAAATTGAAATTGTTTGTTAGGGCTATCTGGTCTGCATGGCTTGACCCATGAGTTCATAGCTTTGGAATCAAGTGTGACGCAAATCATGCAACACATTGAAAGCTTTGTGCACACAATGTTCGATCTCATCTATCTTACCTTGCGCGCCACTGCTTGAAAGTATGCTGAGTACGAGTCGTTTTTCAATCACAATTTAGAATACTTTTGATACATACTTGTGAACATATAATTGATCATTTGAAGACGCAATTGCAGTGCTTTTCAATGCAAAGTGTAGCTTCAAAAGCCCATGCATGGCCAATGGAGCATCGTATGATAGACAAGTGTACTCTTCAATTTGTTGTGGTCCTATAGGCGGTTTGGCTGGATAGCTTCATCAAATGCAACCGGCATATCTAGGTCAACGTTACAAATAAGGTTTGGCTCCCGATGACTCGATTTGTGCATATAGCGATTGCATATGAACGCATATTGATGTGCGTCAGTAACGTTTGTCCATGAAAATTCATGATGAAGGCGCAATGAAGGGGCATCATTGGGGCAAACACGTTCCGTATAGTGTAACTAACTCTCCATCCTTCAGATTTGGAAATGTATGTAATCCCTTCCAGACCAACGACGTGTGACTTGCACAAGCGACCTTGAGAGTCTGATGATCAATGACGGAATGGCAGGCGAAAGGACTGAACGAATATCTACAGTGCGGGATTCCTGTACCGAAGGATGTACTTAAGGTATGCCTACAGTACGAAAACATCAATTCGAAGGATGTACCTAAGCTGTTGTGAACGCTCGAACCACCTCGATGATCGGCGCTCGACACATTGGACAGGTTTCCGTGGTCTGTTGCAGCTGCCTTGCACAGTTATGGCATGCGCACATGTCTCCACATCTGCAATCAGAAAGGCCCTTGAGAAAGTGGGCGAATATCGCTACTGCTGCTACCGTAATTGCTTTGAAAACCAGCTCTCAGATGAATAATGGTGGACTCCACGCTTGGGAAACAGAAGATTCTCGAGGATATAAAGAGGCTCCGTTGCATCCGGAGGCACCCCGTTGAAAATTGTGTCGCATGTTGCAAGGCGTCAGTATAAAAGCCATGTCAATACTCCGAAGGAGAAAGCGAATGCCACCAGCATACGTATTGGTCCACGAAGGGAGCTCGCTTCCGTGCGGCCTCTGCAAAGGATGTCGACAAGCTCTGCCGCAATCGCCTACCTGTACATCAGCGAGTCGATCGGGCTCTCACAGCACACGAAGCACACGCCTCTCTTAATGGCAGCGTGACTTGGAACCGTCCAAGTCCGTCTGGTATGCAGCGCTGATCTTGTTGAGCTCCCCGCAGCACACATTGCTGGCTTCCCGTCCGCTTGGGTCCACCCTCCACACCGACCCTGTCCAGATGTACCACTTCTCGTTGGAGAAGACGAGCTTGTGGCCGGTGTAGATTTGCAAGCGATCAGTGATCTGCGCGCCACCCTCGTCACCTGCAGATCAGTGAGACGCTGGGGTGCTGCCCATAAAATCGAACCAAATAATCTGATCGGCCGGCCTAGTACTACAATTTTCGGGCAAGTCCGGCTAGAATAAAGACCCTGACACTCAGAAAGCAGCCACCCCCACCGTTGAAAGTGACACACTTCAGATCTACGAAGCTCCGAAAGTGTTGTTCGAGGATGATTGCTTTCTTCATCCGGCTGATTTTCAACGGTAAAGATGAGCTCGAGAGCGGGCAGAGACCACAGGACGTACTTGGGAGTTCGTCAGAAAGCTGCTAGCCTGAGGAAGAGTGCATTCCTCTATTGACTCGTTCATCTCCTGTATGGTATCCCGGATTGCCGACTGGTTGATGCACGACAGAATTCAGGAGCGCTTTCTAGTCTGATAGGCCCAGAATTTGTGCAGGATCACTGGTTTACGAAACCTATGCACGACCATCCTGGCGCGACTCACCTGAGAAGATCGAAAGGTTCTGTTTCAAGAACCAGAGTGGAAACAGCTCCCGGTCCTCGTACAGTCAATCTCGCTCGCTGTTGAGGTGCTCTGCATCCGAGAACGCGGCCGCTACTGGGAAGGGGAGCCGACCCAGCTTCTTCTTCGCGCGGCCACTAGCGCTCTGGCACCGCCCACTGTGGCACACGTAGGTGATCTCCGTTCCTCTTCTGAGGAGACCAAAATTGTTGCTGTTGTGCCCCCGGTCCCCCGGCTTGAGGTGTGGGCACGACTCGCGGCCCCCTGGACCATTCCGAAAGTGGTACATAACAGCCCCTGGACCGGCGACCGTGCTCGCTTCCGCGTTGCTGAAGACTGAAGTGTTCTCTCCGTAACTGCTGAGCAGGCCCCACAGGACCTCGACCAACGTCTTGCTACAGAGCAGCATCCGCAAGATCCGGCGCCTTGGAGAAAGCGGACGGGGCCTCGACCCCAGACACTTTCTCGACTGCGACCTTGACTTTCATCCGCACTTTCGCCCCCCCAGCTGCCCTCGAAGCGCGCTCGTTCAGGATCCCGATGACCCAGTCGGGAAGCTGTGGCAGGGCATCTACGGCTGGCAGCTCCCCTCTGCTGGCCGCAGTGTATCGCGCGACCTTCTCGCCCCGCTGGTAGGACGAGGGGGGGCACGCTATCATGCCGTTCAAGCTCACGTCCCGCATGTCCACCCCCACTTCCTTGAAGGACTCCTTCCCCATTTCAGGGTCCCGAGCCCTGAGCTTCAATTTTGCAAAGTGCATCAGGGTGTCTGCGCCCAAACCCGCCTCTAGACTCTTCTCACGCAAGAAGTATAGGTGAACCCCCCCGCTGCCTGTGCGCACTCGCGGCTCCGTGAACGAACCGTGCTCCCTCTCCCACTCAGCTAGCTGCTCCACGCCCCCGTCCGCATGGTCGAAGTCCAGCACGAGAATGCCCGAGGCAGCTGTGTTGACCAGGAGAGTGTTGATAGGGGTTGAAGAAGGGGGGGGCGAGGCAATTGGTGATGGTGGACGCCGGCCAATCCTTGGGCGGCCTCATGCTCTTTCCGCCCTTCCCGCCCTTGGCGTCGGGGTCCCACTTGGTGTTTGCAGAGAAGACGGCGTATCCTTTCTCGACCATGCCCCGAGCTGCGGTTGCCTGCAAATGGATCAAAATTCGATTTCAGTTTTTCGGAGGCAGACTTGCGAACCGTTTACGAAATTTCAGCAAGCGCGAAAACTGCTGTCCGCGCTGTCTGCGCCGTCCATGGAGGGAAATTCGTAGTAGCTCAGGCCTCTACATAGACAGCACGGCTGTCAGCGCTTGTTGGGCTTCTGAAATGGCACGACATTCAACTAGGAAAAAGGCGGAAGATCATAGGAGTCTAAAAAGCCTTGTCTACGCTGTCCACGTTGTCCATGAAGAGGGATCTGTAATTGTTGGTCTTCCTTCATGGACAGTACTGCTGTCAGCACTTGATGAGTTTCCACTGATGCGCAAGTCAGAGGAGAGATGAGGACAAACAAGCCTCTTGAAAAACCTTGTATATGTTGTCCACGCTGTCCATGAAGGGCGATCTCTAGCAGTAGGGCTTCTTTATTGCATACACAACACCGCTCTCCACACTTACTGAACTTTCTGCGATGGAGCCTGCAAAGGACAGCCCTCCAAAAGCACTGCTGTACATGTGAAGAACTCACCATCTGATCTGCTCCGAGTTCCCTCTCTTGGTCTGCAAGGCGATGATCGTTGACAGAATCGACCGGCTCGAGGCAATCGGCGGCCCTGGCCGTGTCAGAGCAAGTCTCCCCGCCGTCCTCTTCGGAAGGCTCATCGTCAGCACCTTCGCAATCATCCTCGGCAGAGAATGATGCTCGCTGCGAGAGGGCCTCCAAATCCTGCAGAAATAACCTGAAATCTGAAAGGCTTGTCCGCGCTGTCCCCGTTGTCCGTGGAAGGAGGTCTAGATAGCTGGCTTCTCTTCATGGACAGTACGCTGTCAGCGCTGAGATCGTAGCGATTTCAAAAGATGACTACAAAAGCACGCTTGTGAACTACACCAGGCAGTCAATTGAAAGTCACGAAACGAGAAGTCATGTTCACGTTGTCCTAGCTGACGCCCCTACAAGTGTGTGCCATTTGAAATGGAAGCGAAGGTCCAGGACTCTGTCCGCGCTGTCCATGTTGTCCATGAAGGGAACTCTCAAACAGGTGACGCTTAGCATAGACAGCGATGCTGTCAGCCTCACCGAGTCGTACCTGCCCATGGCTGTCTCAACGTCGACCTCCTCCTCGCAACCATCCCCGCGTGGCTCACTTGTTGCCTCAGCTGCGGCCCCTACTTCAACATGTTTGCGTTTCCTGCCGCGTCCATGATGGGCGGCGGAGACGTCACACGGAACAGACAGCACAGCGTTTCATCGAAAAAAGGGATACCCTTGCGCAGCAATCAGCCTCATCAAGAGCTTTTCCCCACAAGACAGCCCTGCTGTCTACCAAGACAAGGACGCGACAAGGAGTTTGTCTGGATGGACAGCTCGGACAGCGAAGACGGCTCTTATGATGTGGTCACCGCTTGGGATTACAGTTTACTACATGGCCTTGCCTCCGACGAGATTGGTGACTAGCCAGCCAAGCAGCATATCAGGGCCTGTTCTTGACGCACACTGCGCAGGGCAGTAGCTCACCTGATCACTGTTCATCTGGTTGCATTGGATGGGCTCTGCCCGTCTCGGCGATGACAACCTTTCCTTCACAGTCCATTGGCGGCAATCCTCCAGCACCCTGCATGGCATCGCATCATCAGTTAGTGACCTTGATCGATAGTAAGCAAAGCATCAGGGGGCTGGCCTCGACTCGCCGTCCATTGTGATTAGCTCGGACAGGATCAAGACCAGCTTTCATCTACAAACCGCTCTACATGGACAAGTTGGACAGCGTAGACACCATGTTTAGAAGCCCTCAGAACTCGGATCGACCGACCCTCTACGTTGACCAGTTGCACCGGTCCATGATGTCAACATCAAGACTCTTATCTGCTGTACTTGAAGCATGTTTCCAACTCTCAAGCTCACCTGATCGCTACAGTTCCTGTCACTTTCTTCACGAAGGCTTTTTTGAAATGCTTCAAACGAGATACTAAAGAGAGTCTGCCTTGCGACTTCGTCTAATAGGCCCTCCATCTGGAAACGAGAAAGAGGGGTCAATGAAAACCATGCCAGTCTAATGCGTCTTCCACCAACACCGGACACCTCAGCCAAGCCTTCCTACAGACGAGATTTTTCAGCGTCAAATCAAACAACAGCCTGCAGGCAATCACATGAATGCACCGCTGCAAGAGATGCTTTCACCCTGAGTGAATGTCCACAACAAGTCTGACGCTATATGTGCACCTTTACAATCGTACCTTGGAATGCCTAGCGCTGCTAAGCTGTGTTGTTCACTGAAGTTCCTCTATTTTGCAAAAATGAAACATGCGATATAGCAGCACAGCGCCTGTGCGCGCTTGGCGCAACCTCAAGAAAGCAACTACCTAGATAACAGAACACCAGCTCACAGAAGTCGACCACTCATGGCCAGTCAGCGGTGTCTTAGAGCGCATCTTCTGGCAGCACTGAGGGGACACAATTGGTGCCGAGCGGTTCAATTCTGGCAGTTCAATCCTGGCAGCATGCACCCTGGCCTTGGCATTGGCCCCCAAATTGGTAGTTGTATACTGGGAATGCAGCTTGCGGATTTTGTCATCTGATGTTTTCCCAAGTTTGACGTGGGTTGAGAACCTCAGTCACCCCAGGAAAAAGACGCTAGCAGCCTGGCAATGGAAGAGTGCACCACCACCTCCAAGAAGCAGAAAGCAGATATACTCAGAAAAGGCCAAGATTGGCGACACTTACCTCAGAGACTCATTCTGTATGCCGCAAAAACCAACGCTTCATTTTGGTCATGCTTGTCTGAAAGGCTTTGAACTACAGGCTCTGTGTGAGGAGCTTCAAAGCAGGTGCTTCAGTCTGGCAGCATCAGCCGCGGGTCAGGCGCAATTGGCGCCCATGGGGGGCTTTACTTAGCTGATTCAAGACGGTGGCGGTTCTATCACATACGTCAGCAGTCCTAACGCTCTGATCTAGCTAGATGCCAGAAACTCAGACACGGCGAAACATATGCTCTAGACTGCGGCCTACTCCTGGCGCCGCGCCACTTCGATCAGCTGTGCTGCCCAGCCTGTGCTGATGCTGAGCCTTCAATGAACTGGGCATCCCACCTGCTTCATCAGCCTACTTACGTGGCGAGGCAGTTACAGACTCTGTTTTTGCGAAGTGTATGCCGAGGCAATTGAATGCAGATTCTGTTTTCTTCTTTCGGATCTCACGGACGTCCCCTCTGAGCTGTCTAGAGGTCACAAGTCCCTCTTCATGGACAGCGAGCTGTCAGGCCGCTCGGCGTCCGGTCCCTATTAAGCCGTGTCTCACCGCTGTCTCAGGTAGCCTGGCGTCCGACCAGAATTGTAATATTTAAGCTTATTCGGATTTTCCAGAGGCGTGTCTGAGCTGTCTGGGCCGTCTATGAAGAGGGCTCGTGAATGATATTCCGTCCCCACGAACAGCATGCTGTCCGAGCTCGGACGGAGCGGTTGGGGAAACCAGGTCTGCCGAAAAGGTCGCGGCGGTGGCCGGTTGGGGGCTGGGGCCGGCGACCGGGGCGCGGCTAACTGCTAGGAGGGGGTACACGTGTAGCTTTGGGGTTGGTCCCTTTTATGCCGTTCAACAGATGGTTAGTTGGGCTGCGCTGCATATCCACATCATTTCATGTGTGAGTGTGTGTGTTGGTGAACAGCCTGGTAATATAACGTGGGCGCTGAGGAATGCCAAAAGCTAGCTGTTTTGGACAGCTTTCAACTCGCCAGCTGAAGCAAACGCTTTCTCTAGAGGCTGGAAATCTGGTGTGGCATTGCTTCATGCTGCTTGCTCGTCACGTCTGCTCACAATTGCGCAGGAATTGCAGGAAGCTGGGCATGATTGTGTCATAACCATGAACGATCAGCTGGCAGGCCTGGGGCTGCTGCTCTTCAGCATCAGTGTCTTTGTTTACTACACCCTCTGGGTCATTGTGCTGGTGAGACGGCCTTGCGAACAACCGAGTACCATCGCTCATATTGATTGTCTGTATCTGGTTTGTTCAGTCCAAACAAACTATCTTTTCACTGCACCAGAATGGGGCGGTGAGATTGTGTTGGAGTACTACCAGATAAGATGACTCGAGGACTCCTGTTGTCTCGGCAAGTTTGAGAATTGTGCACCACTAAAGGTCCCCACTTCTGTGATTTATGCCCATAGAAGTTGCCTGGCATTTGCAACTGTACAAGTTGACTAGCACCTGCTGTGGGAAGATGCTTTCTTTGACAGTCAGGTGTGTTTGCTGCACACCGTAAGCTGGCGTGCGCCCATCTACTCCAGGACTAGCGCCCGTCAGTGTGCACAGTCTTAAGCTCTCTTTCCTGTGCACACTGCAGCCATTTGTTGACTCCGACCACGCCGTCCATAGCTACTTCCTTCCGCAAGAGTATGCCATTGCCCTACCAGTGGGGGCCCTTGTGCTGCTTCTGAGCTTCCTCCTGCTCTTCCTGGGGATCCTGATGGTTAGAAGCAGGTTAGGAAAGAAGAAGAAAGCCTAGAGTACTTGAAGGTCAGAGGCTGGGTTGGAAACCAACTGTGCAAGCGGGGTACAATAGTCCATGTCATCTTGGTGTGGGTGCGGAGTACGACTCCCTTGCTCAAGCAGTGGAGGAGCTAGATCCCCCCATGCCTCACTCTGCTACCTTCCCCTTCTTGTGCGCCAAAATCTATCCTGGGAGAGGCTCAGTGTTTATCGGCGATTGCACAGACTTTCAGCAAAGTGGACGCGAGCCAAACGAGTGGGGTGCGAGAACTGCTGCTTGTAAGACCTGTCATCATTTTGTTGCCTATGCACGACCGCAGTTGGGGAGGAACACAGAACTTGGCACACGGGTGCGGAAATTTGGGGGCTGGAATGGTCAGCAGACCAATCCGTCACTTACCCCAGGCGCTCCAAGCCCTCATCATGCGGGCAGAAGAGATGACAGCGGAGCGCCGACTGGGCATGGGAGGGATCTTGGAGGTTCCCCTGTCAGGCGGCACCAACAGCCAGGCAGCTCAAGTCTGCAGGCACCTCATGAAGAGCCAGAACCTCGCCCAACAAGTGCAGATCGTAGGCCCCCTGCCGAGCGAGTCCAAAGGTTGAGAGTCGGGGAGTCTCAGAGTGCACATCCCTCTGCCGAAGTCCTTGGCTCAATGTACCCAAGCTTGAGGGAAAGTTTGCCTCTTCAAGGGACAGGTGATCATGAGCACGATTCAGATCGCAAGAAGAGAAGCGCCGGCGTGACGAGGAGGGAGCTGGAGTGGGAGCAACGGGAGAGGCAGGAGGAGGCGGCCAGGAGAGAGTGGAAGCGCATGGAGATAGCCCGCAGGCAGCAGGAAGCATGGGACAGGAGGGCTGCCAGCGAGGTGAGGTTGCAGTGACCTTGCCCTGTTCAAAACGGGGTTTTGCTGCAAAGGATGGCTTTGATGAGGACCGCAGATTTTAGTCGGTGCTGCTCCACCTTGCCAGGCGCTTCTGCTAAAGTAACTTGGGACCCGTTCTTCAAGTCAAGCTAGACAAATTAGGTTGCTTTCTGTTGAAGTTTGCCTTCTTTCACCTGAAAGGCATCTCCGAAACCATACACTATATAGAATACCGCGGGCCACTCGAAAGTAATACGGTTTCTCTGTCACTTTATTGGTTTAGCAATTCTAGGTTGAACAATCTAGAAGAGTCGAACCTTTCACGACCTCTTGGTTTGCACCAGGCGCACCCATCTTGGTGCCGCTTTCGTGCTCTTGATGTAATATCGAATGCTTCTTAAGGCAGGCTTTCGTTGTCTCTCAAAGACTATCTCTCCCCCTTCGCAGCGCTTGTACCAAGCCCGTATTTTTCTGTCTTTCCTCTTACTCGTGCTCAAAGTCGGCTCACTTCCTCTCCGCAGCATTTCCGTGCCCTCAGCGCGAGGGCCGACCTGGGGTTGCAGGCTGCGCAGCGCAAGTGGGACTTGGAGCTGGACCGCCGGCTGGGGGCAACGGACCTGACCAAGGTGCCCCTTCCTGCAATCAACCTTGCAGCGCGGGTAGTCAAGTGGGCAGCCAAAAGGGGCCACAGGGAGCACCGGGGACAGGACCTCCGGAAGGAGAGGGAAGCGGCGGTGCTGAGAGGCCACAGAGTTGCGTTTCGAAGCTTCTTGGGTGAGGTGAAATGCATGATGCGAGAAATCTTTGGACCCGTACAACGTAGTCTGCCTGAGTGGAGCATAAATACTATTGACAATGACAAATCCTTGTTGCTGAACCTGAACTCGCTTGAGCAAACTCCCTAAAAATAAATTCTCGTCTTGCATTTCTGTCGCTTATCACAGCGATTAATGTTCTCCAACGCATGATGTACTGACTGCCATGTTTTCGCTTCTTTTGGTAGACAACTACACAGGACGAACGCCTGTTGGAGGCCGAGGGAGTGGAGCCCGAGCGTCCGCTGTTCAAATGAGAAGTAGACCGCCTTTTGAGTAGCTCTTGATTATGGGACCTGCACGGTGTGACACGGATCAGTTGTTGGAAGAACCCATCTATTGCTGTTGTTTCTTGAGCAACTGAGGCATCCTTGACTGGATCACGTAACGGACTTGTCTCGATACAATGGCTGATTGTCTTGACTGTCTACTCGACCAAGTTTTTGACTGATGAGCATGAAATTCGCCCTCGTGAAAACTTCCGACTGAGGCAGCAAGGAGGGCTTGCGGGCAACAAATCGGTGTCCATATTGGTCTGTGTTATTGGACAATGCGTATGCTAAACATGAGGGATTGCATGGCCAGCAACGGTGGCTCTCTGTAGACTCCTTTTTCCCCTTCAATGCTTGAAGCTAGACCAGTTGCGATTACCTCCGCATACTCTTTGGATTGCAACTTGCATAGATTGCTGTGTAAACCTGGCGCTTCCAAGTAGCCGCAGTCATACAACGGAAGGAGTCATGCAAGTACGGAGTGCATGCGAGAGCGTCTGTTTATTGACCCTTCATGGCAGCATGATGCTTGCATTGCCCGGGCCTGCTTGGTTGCTGCTAGCCATCATCGGATGCACAGATTGAGATCATGCGCTTCGGATGGCTGAAGTTACGTAGTAGTGTACGTAGGTAGCCTGCTGGACGAATCATGTGTAAGACCAACCAGAGACTCATAGACGATGATGAGATCCTTCGACAACCCAAATATGTTTGAGACGTTCCCGGGACATCCGACAAATTCCTCGAAGCGTGCAGCCAGAACATCGAGACAAAATGCCAGCCAGGCAATGATCTACAGCAGGCCGCGCTGCGCGCGAGCACATCCGCGCAGAGGCGCGCTGTCGGGCGGCGGCCGCCCATTCAAACTCGGGCGCAGCGAGGCCGACCTGCCCGGGCCTAGCTGCGCAGACGGTTTGTGCAGACGGTTGAGTAGCTCTGGCATGCCAATGGGGGAGAAGACGCATCACACACGTGCATTGTAAGGAGTGTAAGTTGTCAGCCAGGGAGGCTCAGGAAGGGAAGGCGCTCGGAGGCAGAAAGCCAGCAGAAAGCAGCCAATGAGGTTGATTGAGGCCATCACAGAAGTTGCGCGATGCTTCTCTGATTGGAATTCATGAACAGCTTGTCAATAGAAACCTCAGCAATGTGTGGTTCATGATTCGACGGGCCAAGGTCAAGGACGGTTTTGTTTCCATACGGGTGCATAACTGTTGTGGTATAGACAGGGAGGTTGTGAACTTTGGGTACACAAGGTGGCCTGGAGGAGGTTGTGCAAGCATTGGGGGCTTGCACGCCTGCAGCTCCGAGGGTGTGGTGACGATGCAAGTATAGTACATTGCCAACCTGCAAAGTGGGCTTTGTAGAAACAGAATGTCTACCAATGACTTTGAGGGTTACAGCTTGCGGCTGGCAGACAAGCATGGGCAACCAAGGAGCATGCTCGCTGCTTCGTTGGAGAAAGCCAGGTAATCAATGCTTGGCTTCTTAGCAACTTTTGTTGCCTGTCTTTGCGTCTGTCTGTCGCAAGCATTCACCTTGCAATATTAACAATCTGGCTTTTCAGGTTTCTTGCTGGTTCAAACATAAAGTGGTTTTGCAACCAGACGTGTGTCCAACAAATTTCCAGGGATAGACGACTCATGTGGTCCCTCCTTGTTTGTGCCGCAGCAGCTTCCTCGCATCCAGTCCCTCTGGCAGGGTGCGTCTGCAGTATTCACGAGAGCTTTTGCTAGAGCTCAGCACCAAGAAAGAGTGCAACGTCTGTCCAGCGGAAGTACCAACTGTCCTGAGAAAGTGAGCATAATCCTGCACACCCCTATGAATCATAGAAGCAGAGAATTTTGGCTCCGGTCTAAGTCTTTCAGTTACAGGGCAAGAATTGTATTACTTCGTTTTAGGCTATCCATCCTATGAATATTGCAGCAGTAATGTGCATTCTGGTTGTTTGCAGAACATTTGTGGGGTTTGTTGGCTTCTGCTTTTTCCTCCTTTTCTACAGCAGGCTGCAGCTGGACTTCAGAATCCATGCAATGAAAGGGGGAGGTTAACGAGCACTTCAATGGCAAGCGGAGCTACTTATTGGAAGGAGTTGGGTCTTGCAAGAGAAAAATGGATTAGGTTTTTGGGTTGCGCTTCACACCTGCTGGTTTAACCTGTCTGCAGAGATTATACTGGACCCGGTGCCAAAGAGGACGAAGGCATCCTCATTCAAAGAGGCCCCCGAAATACACCTGTAAAGGGAGCAGACGGGTATGCACTGATAACTCACGCCCCATGACGGGCCACAGCTGCCTACTGCGGAGATTCTGAATTGCTACTTGTGCTCGAATGGGCTACATGCATGCCTCATAATCTCATTTTAGCAGTTTTGGTTCCCGCTTTCAGCTCCTTTATTGTCTGTCTAGAACATTCTGCTTCTTTCTGTGAGGAAATCAAATGTGCAATTTCTTTAGTCTGCCTTGGAGGCCTCCTAATGGGGCTTTGAAAACTGTGAAAGTAACTGCTGTGCTGTATGATCAAGACTGCTACAGGCTTGTGCATGCTTGCTACAAGTCATTCTTACAATGAGCGCCATTTGTGCAGCGAGGGCCGGTCCCCCCAAGAGAATGGCCCTAGCTCTTGGCAACATGAACGCGATCGCGATGCCTGGCGGCCTACAGGGAGGCCGCGTAGCTTTGAAGATGAGACTGCGCACATGGGTGGGAGGGGGCTTCAGCGGGGGGGCCCAGACAGAGAGAGGGACAGATGGGACAAAGAGCGGGGCGAAAAGGAGATTGGGGCAGGGCCCCAACGGGGCAATGGGCCTCGCAATTTCGCTGAAAATCATCGGCCGATAAACCCCCCAGGCTTTGGTGGGGCGCGCTGGGGGGAAACCCGAGCAGGGCCAGGGGGGAGGTTTAGGCCGGACGATAGGGACCGAGAGGGGTACAATGGCCCGGGCCGCTTCCGAGGAGATGAGGGTAAGGGAGGTCAAGATTTTCCCCTCCCATGACGATTTACGGGTAACTCTTTGTGTTTGTAAGCTTCCTGCTCTTGGATAACAGAGACTGGTGATTGACAGGGAGGGCCTTGAATATTGTCTTTATTGGTTCCATTCGTTTGGTTGTTTTAAGGGCGTTTGCAGAGAGCAATGCGTCGTCTCCATGCAGGGTCCAGCTGTGTTTCTTTCATAGGTTTACCCCCTTTGTCTTGCTGCCATTCTGCTGCCTTTCTTGGCCTTGTTCACCCGAAACTTTAGAACCCTGCAAAACACACTGTAAAAGTGACCATCTGAGAAGCACCTGTTGCCCATTCCAGGCGGCCGCGGTGCTGGGCCCGGCCACCACGGTCCCGGGGGTCCTGCTCGGCCACTCTGGGATCATCCCTCAGGTCGGGACCGAGGGCCCCCAGGTGCAGGAGCCTCTCGCCCAGGTCCAGGCTTTGACAGAAGAGGGCCTTCAGATGACAAGAGGGGCCCCCCTGCAAGGGTGAGGCCCTGGTGACGATATATGTCAACAGACAAAGAGCTGATTGACTTGATTTGAATAGAGACTTGTACAATCAGCCATGAGCTTGTACGATCGGCCGTGCGCTTGAACGGTTTGAAGTTGGCGCAAACTCTTTGGAGATTGCAAGGGTGATTGCTGGATTGTGTGTAGCAGAAGGATTGGATCCTCATGCTGCCAGCAGCTGCTCAATCAGCTGCTTCTGGTGGGGATGCAGCCGACTGGCGGGAGTGACTGGGACACCGACAACTACAAAGATGACGAGACGTTTGGATTTGATGACCCGAAGCAGCAGACCGGGACGGAGAAAGAGGAGGAAGAGAAGAGGCGCCGAGGTAAGAGGTTGTTGGGAACTCGTAGGCAGTATCATTCTGCACTCTTCCTTTCAGGCATGTGAGAATCAGATTCTCACAATGATCTGGTCTTATGTAACTCGATTTTTCAGGTGGTGTGATTTGAAGGCCTTTCATTTGAGCACTTGAGCTGTTATTGCCAGAACGACGGCATGATGTTCGTTGTAATAAACCACAGAGTAATTGCTCTGCACGTCCTCAGCATTTCGGGTTTCCTATTCTGCCACCATTGATACAGCGCTTTTTTTTGCTATGTCAAGCTCGACATTGCTGCTCAACCTGCCTGTTGACGAAGGTCTCCCCTGCGGTCATTATACTTCCCGTAGTCTGCGTGCTTTGGATTTCTGTGTCAGCTTTTTGCATTCACATGCTTGCACCACGGAGCGGAGAATCCTTATGCCGAAACGACTCAGAGAGCTACTATGCCTCCTGTCACACGTGGATCAGCCTGCATCGGAGATGCGTAATTGTACTGTACTTTTGCACGATGACATACGCTTCTGTGTGGGTTGTGATGCATTCGTGTCGGTCCCTGCAGTCCAATTCGAGAAGGAGTTTGAGGCGATGCGGCAGGCGCGCCACAAGAAGCCCGAGGCCGCCGAGGGCGAGAACACGCCCAGCAAGAAGCACGACGAGGACGGCATCTGGGACACCAACCTCAGCTTCGAGGAGTCGTCCACCACGACCACCGTCACCGCGGGGGGCCAGGTGAACCGCCGCACCGTCACCTCAACTTTGACCGGGCTGCGCGCCCCCCCCGGCTTTGGAGGGGGTGCCTTCAGAAAGGGCGAGGACCTGGCCGGGCCCGTCACGCCACGCACGCCGAGGGCGAGCGATGGGGACTGGCGCATCAACAAGCGCGTGGTGACTGAGGAGAGCGTGGAGCCCGCGAAAGACAAGACACCCGCCAAAGCAGCTGAAGCAGGGGCGGCGGGAGCGAAGGAAGGGAAGAGTGAAAGCAGCTGGCTCAAGACCCCGGGGGGGCCTAGCCTGCTGGACACTATCTTTGCGTCAGGGGACAAGGGCGCAAAGGAGACGAAAGACGAGGAGGGGAGCGCGAAGGAGGGGAGCGCGAAGCGGGGGGAGAGCCTGGTGCTCAAGAACCTGTTCAAGAACGCGCACAAGAAGGTGTTCCCCGGGCTGGCAGATGACGACCCGGTGAGTACGCGCTTGGAACCCGTCGAGGGTGTAGGCCTCCCTCATGAATGCGAGCTTCCTTGGTGGGAGTGCTCGAAAAGCTTGGGAAGTTTGTATTTGCCACTATTGCTGCTATTGCGGACCTTTTTAGTTCTAACTTTCGTGCGAAAATGTTTGAAAAGGTCCAGCCAAGATTGACTTCGAAATGAGGTGGGGGCATCATTCGAAAGCATGCCGACAAGTAGATAGAACAGCAGAACATGAGGAAAGGGTTGCGGGCTGACTAGTTGCAGGGACAGCGTCTGAATTGCGGGGCGCTTGTCGCAGGTCACTGAAGCGGTGTTGAGCGACCGCTGGGCCGATGCTGTCGAGGCAGAGGAAGCTGATGCCAAAGCGTCCAAGTTCGCTCGATGGTTTAACTCGGAAGGTGCGTATAAATCCAGAAGCCAGTCGACTGGCACTAGTCGACAAGCACTGGTGATTTCATTTTCCAGACTAAACTACCTTCTGCTCTCCGCCGTCTGTTGCCATCTCAAGCATGCACCTCAACTTGTGTTTGAGACAAAGTCGGATCTTAACCAAGGCTTTCACTCGGACACCCAAAAATCGGTTTCCTCATAAGATGAGTCCAGCATCCTGAGCTTTGAGCTGCGCAAGCAGTCTGATTTCTTCCCTTGTTTACTGCAGAGCCCCGGCCTGCCAGTACGCCGGGTGCGGAGGCCCAAAAGGAGGAAAGCGTGCTGGCATCGTCGGCCCTCCTATCAATCCTTCAGAAGCCTTCTGCCTCGGCACACTCAGAAGCCGCCCCAGCTCAAGGGGGACCCGCAAACCCGCTGGATCTCCTGTTCCCCTCGTCGACTGGGAGCGCCCCAAAGGCCATGCCAGCGGGCCCATCCCTTGCTGAGATCGAGCAGGCTATGCAGAGCGCCGCAGGCGGACAGAAGAACGAAAGGGGCAGCAGCGGAGCAGGCAAGCAAGGAAGTAGGCCCACCGACGACCTTGTAGGGACACCAAAGCAGAGTGTCGGGGGCCTGCAAGATTCGGCGCCTGAGAGTAAGCCGAAGGCGTCGAAAGCGGAGCCGGGCGGTGTGGCGGTCAAGGGGTTGCGGGATCTGGTCGAGCAGGAGAAGCGGAAGGATCGAAAGAATGCCTCGGGTGGGGCCCTGCTGGGGCCTCTCGAGGACGTTCTGACTGGTAAGCCTGGCAACGGGGCCGGAACGGACGCGAGAAACAGGGCCCCCGATGTACAGTTAGCAGAGCTGAGAACCGGTAAAGAGAACGATGCGGGGGTGCCAGCCGGAGGGGCAAAAGCGGACTGGGCGGCAGACGGAAAGGCTTTGCTGTTTGGGGCCCAGACACAGGCGCCGGCGTCCGCCCCTGGCGGGATGCTGGCGAGCATCTTTGGAGCGGGGCCCGGGCCCAAGCCTGCGGGAGTGCCGGGCAAGAAAGCGGACGCACCTGTATTCATGACCCTGGAAGACATTGAGAAATCATTGCTGGAGGAGGCGGGGAAGCCGCGAGCTGGGGAGGTGGCCAAGCCCCCGCCGGCGACTGCGGCGCCCACTCCGTCCGGGAAAGCAGACGTGGTTGCATCGATGCACCTCTTGTCGCTGCTTAAGAAGGGGCCGCAGACCGGGCAGCCTGCCGGGCCCATGGATGCCGGGCCTACGGATGCGGAGCCAGAAAGCAAGGGGCCCGGTGGAGCAGACAGCAAGACCTTGACGGGAGCCGCCAAGGGTGGCATCAACGGGTCCTTTCTGGAAGAGGGGGGTTGGAGCTTCCCCGAGGGTGAGGGTCCGATGAGCGGAGCCGCTACCTTCTTCGGAGGTCCGGTGGAGAAGTCGAAAGCGGAAGTTGCTGGAAAGCAAGAGGGCTTGAGAGAGACGGGCAGAGATGCGGGAACAAGGCCGCAGGCGACGCGCGAGGGGGAATTCGTGAATGGGTTTGGGGACGGCGTGCAGGATGAGCCTGAGATGGTGGGCGACCTGCTCATGCGGCGCCACCTGGCGGGACACGACATCGGGGCCTCCCGCTTCGTCCAGCTGGAAGGCCAGAGCGAGGTGGCGTTGGCAGAAGAGAACATGCACCGGGTGTCCCGTTTGGGCGCTCCTGAAGGCAGTGGGTGGCGGGGGGGCCCCCCCGGCCCCTTCTACGGGGCCCCGCAAGCCCAGCAGCAGGCGCCCCCGGGGATGGTCCCGCCCCAGGCGATGCACCACCTCCATCAGCAGCACCAGCAGCTGCCGCCTCACCTGGCGGGCCTCTGGCCGTACGGAGCAAACGGGGGCCCGTTCGGCCCGGGGCCCCCCTCCGGGTCCTTTTATGGTGGAGATCGCGGCCCATACGCGGGCGATGACAGGCAGAACCAAGTCCTGGAGCGGCAGGGCTCCGGAGCCAGCAACGGGCCGTCGCAGGGGGGGCCTTTCGGGCAGCCGCAAGGGCATGCTGGGGGCATGCAAGGCCCCCCGATCCCTGGTATATTGCCGCCCTATGCGTTTGACCTCCGGGGGCTGGTTCCCATGGCGGGGCCCCAAGGCATGCCGCCGCAGTTTGCGCACATGAGTGGGCCGCTGCCCGGTGCCTACATGCGCCCACTCTTCAACCTTCCGTACACGCCGGAGGGTCTGCACGGAGGAGGGCCGCCGCAGGCAATGTATGGTCCCCCCAGCAGCCAATCAGGTCGCTCGGGAGAGCAGCAGCTTGGTCGTCCCCCGCCATCTCAGTTCTTGGGCGGGGGTCCGTACGGCTCGGACTTTTGGGGCGGGGGTCAGCCAGGGGGCTTGAGCTCGGGAGAAGGCATGCCTTCAGCTGCTCGGTAGCTGAGCGTAACGGATGCAAAGCGGGAGCTCAGCAGGTCAACACCGAGGTCCGTGTCACAAAGGTAGTCACCGGGATGAGGGCCTTACCATGTCGCCACACGCCGGCCAGCGGCAACGATTCTCAGGCGTTTGACAGATGGTATGCTCTAAAGGAAATGCAAAAGCTTGGTGGAGAATTTCGGTCGCATTCATCATGTAGCATCTTCTAGGCACTCTGCCTTCGTTGTTTGGTTGCGTGTCGGTATGCCAGTGACTGTGGCCAGAATGCTATTGACAAGCTGCGCAGTGATGATATCTTCTTTAAGGATGCCCATATAGCCGCTCTCGCCATGAGCGCCGCAACCGTTGCGGCCGGGCAGATGCATCGCCTGGGGCTCCTACACCTAGTAGCATCCCTATCGAGTCATGAGTATGTAAAAGGTCTGTATTGCAGCGCGGCTATGCATGACACATGTATAGATTCATGGAAATATAGTCAAAGTTAAGCTTCAACCATCATAATGCATGCAATTTCGTGGTGCGCAGCCGCCATCATATGCATGGTACTATAACATGCAGGCTGGCCCGGCGGCCCTGCGTATATGTATACAATTAAACGGGGTACCTCAGCGATCGGAGATACATCCATGTGCTAATGGTGAACATCTATCCAGGGCGCTATAGGCCACCAAAAGATGCCAAAGCGTCCAGGCAAAATATGCCCTGAGTACTGTTGTCAGTAAGTCCATCCTGCGGCACTGTTTGAAACCGTATGTACAAAATGGCTGTCAGCAGAATTCAAAGTGGTGTGAAGCTAGCATAGCCACTCCTACTTGATGGACCATGCCATAACCAGCGACTCTGTCCTTTTCATATCGGGAAATCGTGTCTGGAACTAGCTATGTTTACTTGCGAAAAGTGTATGCACGGGCGGGGGAGACGGTGGACCCTTTTCAACATTCAGTTTTGTTACGCTTCATATCTCCTCTCAATGTAAGACCCCCAGATTCCCGTCGTACTCAAGAGGCTTATCTGCAAGAACGAGAAGATCCGCTTTTGAGAACAATCTGGAATGGTGTTGGAAAACACTGCTTTCCTGTTATCGTTCTTGCTGAAGAGTAGGTTTGCGCACTGCAGCTCACTACTTCCCGCAAATACCGTTTGAACATTTCTGTTTGAGTTCGGACGCGATTTTTTGCAGAAGCTTGTACAGAGGCTTCTGGGGCCAATCAAAATTTTATCATCCTTGCAGCGGACGCTCTACAATTGCTTCGCCGTTCCACCAGCTATTTGGTTCCATTGTTGGGCAATCATCTAATGAGACCATCCCTCTAGAATAAGGGTTTGAGATCAATGCTTATTCTCGTTACCAAGAAAAGCAGGATCGACAAGAAACTCTCATTACCTTCAGAAGAAACTGCACGTGCAAAGCTTAAGAAGTAACTCCTTTACACAGGAAAATGCAGGATCGAAATCGGTTGAGGCGTTCGTGAACATCCCACCAAGACCCAGACTACAAAAGAATGCAAGTCGCAGGATACGACTTTTCTCTGCACGCAGTACTCTCAAACTGAAATCAGGAAGACACTGTCAAAGCCCTACTGCATGCTAAAACTCGAGAGATATCGAAAAAGGTAAAGTGAGAAAGACAACACCGCCCTTTTTATATCGCAAGCATCTCGGGCTCAACTTTGCTCCAACAGCCAAATAGCGGAGACAAACATGGAGGGACCCTGCATCCTCCATAAACTTTTGCAAGACATTTAATACCAAAATACATTGGCAATACTGTCTGACTTCAAAATCTTATTGGGAATTCCAAGGGCTGACCTTGCTCCACTCTGCTCCAAGGCCGCTGACGCGCTGCTTGAGCTGCATGATGGGCGTGCCCAGCTCCATCTCCACCTTCTTCCTGAGCCAGTTCTCGTCCAGCCCAAAGCTCCCGAGGTACCGGTCATACCGGTCCTTCACAGCCTCAAGCGCCGCCGCAAACGTGTCCTTAGTGGCCTGCAGACAAGGTTTGCAGAGACGGGACGAGGTCACAAAAAAGTAGCTCACTTTAGACTTTCCCTTCTGCTGAAGAAGATGGGTCCATAGCAATCGAGTCTCCAGAAAAAAGGAGCTTCTTGTACTTGAAAGAGGATGATTCTTTATGACTGCACCTTAACGCCTCCACGCCTTTGAGCCACCACACAACACTAGAAATGCCTATCTCTGACATAAACCTCAAAAACAGAGGACAGACGACCACCCTCACATTGCCATCATTGCTCTGATCGTCCAGCTCCATCCTCATCTGCTCCAGCCTGTCTGAAAACTTCTCAACCGCATCCGCAGCCCTCCAGGCGTCCTTCAGCAGCTCCGATTGAGAACCGCCTTTGCTGAGGACGGCCTGCACGTCCTTCTTGACTTCCTCTGGGAGCTTTTGCCAGTTGGAGGCGAGCAGGGCATTGATCGCCTTGCTGACATCCTCGTCATCGATGTGGGGGAGAGTGGCGCTGGTGTAGCTGCTCATGAAGCGGTAGGGAGTGGAGCTGAAAGCGGAAGGAGCGGCAGCGCCTGCGGGGGAGACGAGTACTGAGAATTAGTTGTTGGGACGGACCAAGAAAAGATTCCCCTCTCTCAAGCTTGCCCACAGACTGTCAATGTGCGGGTATCAATGAAGTGCAGGGAAATCCTTGGGGCATTTTAGAAGAAAATTAAGGAGAGCAGTATCTTTGGGAAGTTTTGACTTGCAGTGCCTGATCATCAGAACAATCTAGACCGGCTTTGTCCACTATCTCTTTGGCAGCTACAACCTTCCCGCTCCTTCTTGCTACATGCTAAGAGGAAAGCTAGGGAATCTCAATGCAGTGAAAATGCTAACACCGTTTGTCCAACGACCGAGTCACTTCTGGTACAAGAGCTGCCAAACCAGAGAAGCTGAAAGCCAGCGAGCCAGATGGAGACTTGTCATGGCTGGCCTCAGTGCTTGCTAGGTTGTTCAGTGAGTTCTCAGATTCCTTTCACATAAGATAAAAATCATGGCTCTCGCATAGGGATCCGCAATTGCTCTCATGTGGTGGCATGACTATTACAAAAGGGAAAGTCTTCACGCGGACCAGGAAAGAAAAGGACTACTCACCAGAGAAAAGTCGGACGTCACTGCCGTGCTGGCAGGCTGCTCTGCTTTGATCATCAGCTGCCTTGCATGCATTCTCAACAAGCACAGGCAGCGATGCGTGGTTGGATTTCAACATGGTGTTGCGGCCACACTGCCGAAGAATCAGACGCAGTGCCATCTTTCCACCCCGTTGCTTTGAGCTTCCCACAGGATGCAATAATAATCTCCAAAAGCCCAATTGGTATGTGGGCGAGGTCAAAATTGAAACAGAAGCAGCGGAGAGACAAGTCAAAAACCTTGTGGTGGGAGGGAAGGAAATCAGCAGATGGATCATGGGAGGAAGGAGACGATCACAATTGTTGCCCTATCCTTGAAAAATTGCGTACATATCAGATTCACGGCTTCTCGCTAACGGTATTCTTGACGGTTTGTCGCCCTATCTAATCAACTAACGAAGGATGCTTCATCTTGCCACAAGTTTGAAAAACGGGACCTACCGGCGGTATACCCGGCAAGTTACGTGGTAAAAAATCGGACTATACAAATACTATATTTAAACCGTCATAAGCAGATGAGTTTACTCGGCGGAGCCAACCGTAGTTGTCAATTTCGCCTTACAACCTGCTATATACGTGCGAAACGTTCTTCGCATAACCCATCAATTCGGTTTCTGCTTTCCCAGCCCGTGAAAGCTTTCAGCAGCAGCCAGCTTGCGACCCCTGTGTACAGTCGTGCGGACCTGTACAACTTCAAGCAGACTGCAGAGAGAGTTTACCAGCAGAGAGAGGAAAGGCACTGAAGACAGAATCTGCAGTAAAGGAGCCGCGCTTGGGGTTGGAGGACCAAAGTCTGAAGACGTAGAGAGACCGGTTATTTCGTAGGCCGCAGCGTCTGCCCTGCTGGCAACCAGCCATGGCCACTGCCGCCGCTGCCTGGGCTGCTTCTGGCACACAGCTGTCATCGTCCATCGCAGGCAGCAGGACGTTGGGGAGCAAGCGGAGCGAGTTTGCTGGGGTGACAACCTCATTGGCAAACCTTTCTCTTAGCAAGCCCGCTGTTGTACCTTTGGAGCGGTACACTGGACCAGTTGCGAGTGAGTTCATGTTTCCTCGCTGTGCTTCACCGCTTTCTGGGTTTGCAGATCAGTCTTAATACTGTTCCAAGAAAGGACTGGGAGAGATCGTTGCTGCCTCACTCTGGCACCCTGACGTTGGCATCGTAGCTTTTGGCTCGGTATTTGGAGGCAGGTAATGGTACTAAGGGTGACAATGCAGTCTCTCATACCGGAACCCTAACAAGTCCGACCAAGCAACTGCTGAGTGTGCTGTTCATTGAGTTGCTCAGTCTGCAAGACTGCTTTGTTGCTCCTTAGGACCTTCATGTCAGGATTAAGGCAGGACTGACCGCAACTGGTTTCAGAAGTTACTGACTCTTGCGTTTAGTCAGCGTCGTCTTCTGTAGCAAGCGGTTTAGGGTCTTTCATTTTGTGTAAGCCACCAAAGGGACAGGAGAACAAGGAGGCCCAGTTTTTGCCGGCAGCAAGGGAATGCAATGCATGAGCCACTGTGATTGTACTTCAGTGCCGCACAATGCCGCCCTTTGTAGACATCTTGCATTTTGATGCTGCATTCTAAGAGGAATGGCCACTAATTTGGGTGCTTGCAACCTACTGTGAAACCAGCAGTGGATTGAGCTCCACACAGTTAGACTATCAAGGGCACATTGACATGTTTCCGATTAGAACTATGTTCAACGTGATCAGCAAAGCAAAGGTTGCACGGAAGCTGGTTGTCTTCTGGAAGCAGAGATTCTTTCTTGGCAGCTTTTCTACCGGTTTCATCAGCTCTGATTTTGCTGTAGAAAATCAATGAGACTCAAATTACAGGCGCATTTGTGACCAATTTAATCCAGTTATTTTTTGATGTTGGACAGATTGTTTCCAGGTTAGAGAAGCCTTTCAGCGGACTGATGGGCGAGCTTCCATCTCAACAAGAAGATTCAACTTAGAGGCCGCCTCATTGTGAGGTTCTGACATAGTATTCTACGCATCTTGTGCAGAGCGGGTATGCGACTTGACGGGCAAGAAAGCTAACAACAAGATGATTGTGACATTTTCTCACAAGCGTATCCACAAACTGCAACAACCGAACCTGTTCATGAAAAGACTATGGTGGGAGAAGAAGGGCAAATTCGTCCGCATGAAGCTTTCAGCTTCAGCAATCAAGTCAGTGGATAAGCACGGGTTGGAAGAGATGGCAAAGAAGGCAGGTCTTGACCTTAATGATTACATCAGCGCATAATAGAACATACTCATATACGGAAAACTTTCATATGAGGGGACTTGGTAGAACAAGGATCAAAGAGGTCGAAGTTGAAAGCTTAAGGAGCAAGTCCTGGTCCTAGTACAGAATAGCACGGAGCGCTAGCCCACGCCTTTCATAAAGCAAACGTATTTGAGGGTCAGACTGCCTCCTGGATCGAGGCCTGGCTGGTTCTCTAATGTGACCTTTCGATTGTCACTCTGATATACAGTCTTCTATGTGCTTAGCAGCACCGCGGATGTATCTCGATCAGAAGCGATTATTGTTATCCCTGCAGTCGACCAGATTGTCTTGAAAGTATCTCAACCGGCTACCTTTTGATCTGCGCATGATGACGATCGAAGTTCGCTAGTGACCCTCTCCTTTGGTGCTCTCGTATTCAAGATAATTTGGAGTATGCTGAAATACCGCATGCCGGTCTGCCAGCCGGTATAGCTGGTCACAACTGCACATCTAGACGACTTATCCATTTGTAAGAATCAAAGCTTTGGCTCTTTGCAAGCTGCTGCTGCAATGATATGCACAAAGCATTTTGCATACTAAATCATTGCCGGTACTACTACACAAAATATTTCCCAGCCGTCCATGCAACCTGACTACAAAGACAATGATGCAACGACGCACATGCCATCAACATCGAACCAATCCAATCTTGGACATGCACTGAATGCATCATGCTTTTGTCACCTAGCAAATCCTTTTCAATTCCGCAGGGCAATCTTTGAAACTTTGGCAGACCCCGGGTCCCATGGAGGCACTCTCAAGCAAATGGCCAAAGCACGGCACGAATGTGAGCGCTTCTAGATGCCCAATGTAGCTTTCCGTTTGATGAGTCTCGCGGCTGACGAGACAATTGAGCAACGTACTTATGGTTAGCCGCTCTAGTACGCGGGTGTGGATTCCGACCTGAAAATGCACCTTACATGTAGCCTAGCCACCGAAGCAAGACGGCCACGAATAGAACTACGATGGCCAGGATAATCAGAGGTCGAGCCAGCAACCAGTCCCGAGCTGCCCTGGCAGTCGTCCCCACGCGCTGCATGCGGTCTGCCCAGACCATCTGCAACAATCGATTGCAAGTTTAAAATCGTTTCAGTGGTCATGGCAACAAAGGCGAATAGGATGCTTGGAAGAAAATCATTCCGTCTGCAACAAACAAGAAACATGTTAACTGTGCAGGTGGACAACGTCCACAATCCCCCTTCCTGAAAAGGGAATCAAACCCTCTCACACCACTGTGCAAGCATCGGTAAATCTTACCATGGTTTGGATGTCCTTCTCACTGAGCCCTTTCATTGCCTCTGCTGCTTTCTCGGCCTGCTCCGGGGTCATCTTCAGGCCCGCTTGCGCGCCCATGGACTGGAGCATCTCAGGGCTCAAATTCTTCATCATCTCCGCAGCCATCTGCAGGGACCAACGAACGCGGGCATGGAAACATCACAAGAGTTCTTACAAGCAGTCAGCAGATAGCTTCGGAAGCCTGAGCCTAACGGCCCACAGCCTTCTGAGAAAGTATATATTCAATGCAGGCGAGACAAGAGAATAAGGACAAATCATATACAAATCTTCAATCTTCTTAAGAATCAAGCCCCAACACTCCCTCCGGAAATCCTGTCAAGACTCAGACTCAAGGCTTTCCTTACCTTCATCATCTGCGGATCCTTCAGCTTTTCCTTCATGTCGCCCATCGAAGACGGGTCCATTCCAGCAAAAGGAGAACCCGAGGTGCTTGCGCAGCCACTGGCGCCCGCAGCCTCCGTCTGTCAGACGTAACAGACTGTCAGCACCTGATGCCCCGCGGAACCTTTGACACGGCTGAACTCATGCAAGCTGAACACCACTTAGCAGCTACAGGCAAGAGAAGAGGACAAACAATGTCGACGTGTGCCTCACCATCCTCTGCATGTCCTCGGGCTTCATGTTCTTCATGCTTTCCATGGCCATCTTGGCCATCTCGGGCGTAATGCTCATGCCCATGGACGCGCTCATAGCGGCCATAGTTTCGGGGGACATGGACGACATCATGTCACCCACCGCCTGCAAGCGTGATACCAGATGACGTCAGCTTCTGATGAGTCGTGTGAATCCAGGAGGGTTGCTTGGTAGACAGAACTGAAAATCCTCCGTGATCCGAGAATACATATTGTCGACGTCGTCCAGACCCTCAAATAACGACAAGGGAAAGAAACCACGCCTCAAGATTCAAAAACGCCTTTCCAAGCTTCGCTACTGAATAAATCCGTCCAAATCATGCTGCAAAGACGAAGTGGTCACCCTCTTTGTCGACTATGTTCCCCTCGTCCCCGGATCCGTTTACCCTGTCACGATCACAATATCGAAGTCTTTGTTGCCTGTACTGCAGCTTTGTTTGCAACGGTGCTGCGGTTACTTGCAGAACGTTGCTCATCTGCACAATTTGGAGCGCCAGAGAAAAGTACCAGCAGAACAAGAGAAGGCCTCGCAAAGGGGCGCATGTCGCTGGTCGTTGGCCTGCTGCCTCACCTTCATTGCCGCCGGGTCCTTGAACTTCTCCTGCACTGACGCCAGCATCTCGGGCGTCATGGGAGGCCTTTGAAAGCTAGGCGGTGGTGCTGCCGGCGGTTCTGCTCTGGTGGCTCCTGCCGTGCGAATCTCCTCCACCTCGTCGTCGCTCTCGACGGCCCCGTCCTCCACCTTCGCCTTCCCGTTCGGTTTGCTGGTCCCCGGCTTCCTCTGGTGATCAATCCGGATGACTTTCTTGGCAGGGTCTGCAGCTTTCGCTCCGCTGCCAGAGGCTGCATCAGCGGCCGGTTTACTTCGGGTCGCCGCACTGGCAGCTGAGGGGCTGGGGTTCGCCTGACTAGCAGGCCCTGCGAAGCCTTGCATGTGAGATGCAAGCTCCGCCTGCCGCTGGAAATTCTGCATCGGGCACGGAACATTTCTGAACAGATTTCACAAATAGAGCGGAAAGCCAGAGCCCACCAATTGACAATTGACGTTACGAAGAGCGTCTGGCAAGGATGGAAAGGCATCATAGCTTTCAAGCAGCCAGACTGATATAGCTCGTTCGCTGAGCAGCGTCAAGAACTTGACACCCAGTCGCCAGAGACAGCCCTCACCTCCGGGGATAAGGACTTCAGCTGTTCCTGAGTCTGCCGCGCCATCTCAGGGGTGATTCCTGGCGTCATTGATGCAATTACTTCCGGCGACATGTCCGCCATCATCTTGTGCATGTTCTTGAGAGTTTCTGGATCCATCTGTTTCATCATTTCAAGGCTCCTCTTCACCGTGTCGCTGTCAGGAGAGGAACCTGGTGGTATGCTAGGAGGAGCTCCTAAAGTTTCTGCACCCGTTGGCGCACTTGAGGTTGTAGCCGCTCTTTTGGTAGGCTCTGCAACTGGGGACTCTGCAGACAAAGAGAAAAACATTACGACCGTGCACCAGCAGCCGTTTCTACCGCGGGGAGCAAGCTTCGCAGGTGAAAACGACGAGCTTCTGACAAAGACAAGCCGTCCTGCATGGCATGGTGACGTGTGCGTGCCATGCTGAGGTAACTGGAAGCTGACATCCGCCTCAAACCTGTACTCAACTTCGCTGTGGATCCCGGGCTCGGAGCTCTCTGAACGTTGCTTCGCCAGAGCCTCCTTCACTTCCCTGCCAATAGAAGGGTTTCTGACCTGAATCGTCTGAGACTGAGTGAGCGATAGTAAACATTGCCAGCAACCGTTGCAGCAATGAGCAGTTCAGTTCAGGGGAGCCATAAGCTTCTGAAAATCTACTACAATTTGAAACATCTTTCACCAAATTCGAGTCAGCGTTGCACCTACTCGATTTCGACATGAGTGGAGGAACTTACTGAGCGGCGTTTCGAACTGTCTCGTCGTCAGGGTCTATTTGGGAGGCCTTCTTCAGGTCGGTAAGGGCTAGCTGTAGTGCAGTTGAGGAAAGCAGGTGAGTCTTGAGTCGTAAACCACCTTGTGACAAGAAGAAGCAATAGCCTTCGGCACGGACATTAAACCCGGCACTGCGAAGGTCCAAACAAGCATTGCCTTGTTACCTGCAGCTTCCCCAATGCTCTGTGGGCTTGACCTCTTCGATACAGAGCTTTCAAGTTGCTTGGATCTGTCCGCAGGACCTGCATTCAAGAAGGTGGTGACACTGTAAGGCAGGGGTCAACTATCGAGAGGACTACTGTACAATCACAGCAGTCAACCGAAGAGGCAGTTTTGATTGTTCAAAAAAGGCGTCATTTGATGAAAGCAGACATGCTCCATGCCAGTGTGTATGGGCACGAGTCATTTGCCTGACAAACGTCTTACCTCTGACCCTTCCCGGACTGCTTCCTCGTTCTGTCCAGTCCGGAGATAGCAGATAAGCAGGTTAAGGGAACAGGATGTTTTCAACGTCCGTGCTTCCACAGATTCGTGCCCCTCCAGATTCGACTTGGCCTGGGGAGAAAGATGCGGGTACTGAGGGCCTAGAACGAACACGTCTACAGTTCAAGCCACAATGAAGGGCCCTCTCAACACAATGATCACAATCAAGTATTATTCCAAGTGGAGAGGGGTTGACGCTGCAACAGTTTCTCCAACCTGACTGAGAACAATCAACCGGAGCTTGCCAGATGTTATGCTGAGCTCACCTTCAGATACTTTTGGGATGCTTCCCCATGCTTGCCAGAGGAGACAAGTTGGTTTCCCTGGCAAAACCACACAACATCTCCTGAGAACATTGATAACTCCCTCCAGCACAAATGACTTAGTGCACAGGACGAGAACGCCAAGAACAGGTATCTGTAGCCCCTGGCGAATTCCTGAATGCTCAGCTTGGCTTTTGTCTGCATGTAAGATCGCTTTGATCAAGAGCTACACATTCTCCAGGACAAGAAAACTGGACATACCTCAGCTTTTAGCTTCTGCGCTACCTTCAAGTCATACTGACGACGAGCTCCTGTATGTTCCTCAAGAATCGCAGCATTCCGCAGTAGGTCATCTGAGTTTTCCATACCAGCCCCCATCTCCTTGAGCTGCTCAGGTGAGAATTGCTTCAACTGTCATGCAACAAGCAACATGCACTTTAGAATGCAAGATATGGATAGGACCCGTTGATAAGTGCCACAGCTCGCCTGTCATACACATCATGTAAGGCCATCATTGATGAAAGGTCATGCCCGGCTGAAATCTATAAACTTGAAATGGTTTCAGCTGCCCAGAATTTGAACAAACATATCACTAACATGTTTGTAGCTAAGTGCTCGTCGGCACGGCAAAGAACAGCTAGAACCACTTTTGAAGTTGCATCCCTCTTTTCTGTGACTTGAACAGATGACAAAAATCTCTGAGTTTAAGCTGCAGAATCCTGATCAATGAAAGGCAAGGTGATTGAATCAACAATGACCTCATAAATTCTGAATAGATGCTCCAGCGGACACATACCTGCTCGCTTGCCATCCTCATGTCCTCGGGTCTCAAGGATTGCATGTTCCGTGCAGCAGAAGCCATCACGCTTGGATCCATACTTGCTGCAAGTTGCTGAATTCTTGCAATCTCCTCTGGCGACATCCGCTGCATCTGTAAAGATGGTCAACAAACCTGTGTCAACCGAAGAAACGAACCAAAAATATTTTCAGAGATGACAAGTTGGCGCAGTTGCTCTCATAAAAAAGCTGTCTCATCCAAAGCAATGGGCATCCAAAACAAGATAAGTTCTCCCTCTTTACACCCCTCGTCAAGGTAAACTGTCAAAGGCTATGGAAACTTTTAGTGGCAATTCCTCAGACAGATGAGACACTGAAAAGCCTACCTGCTCAGCGGCAAACTTGATCATCTCTGGATTCATTATGATTGTAACGTGTTTGAAGATGCAAAATCCAACGATGTACTCTTCTGAGTATTAATGCCAAATGCACGCCTGCTGGGTCTCCAAACGATGCAACCCAGAAGGCCCGAGGTACTTGGAATTTATGTACTCCTCTGTTCTGATAGTGAAGGGGGACTCCTTTCGGATTACGGTGTAGGAGCTCCTCTTATTACTATTAGGTAGTCTCCCTGGCCTCATGATGTGAGATGAATGTGAGCGCTGAGGATTCGGAGTTGGAGCCTGTGTGGCGGGCGCCGGGCAGCTCAGCCTCTACAGTCTATAGACTAAAGGCTACAGCCTACGACGACAGAAGTCCGGGGCCATTTCCTACTGCAACTAGAATTGACTGATTTCTTCGCTGTACAAAGGAACGGTAATCTTAAAGGTAACTCTTATCCAATCCAATCGACGCGAGTC